GTTACCCATATGCACTACCCATGTTTTTTAAGGGGAGTGTAGATGGGGGATGTGTGTGAGACGATGTGGGAATGTCCAATGTCAGTTCTGCGTCTTATGTTCTTCTCATATTCAGAATGGTGATGGGGACGTTTGGGTTTCTGTGGCATTATTTTTTTGCCCCAGACCTGAGCTCAAAGTGACACAGATGAGCTGCGCTTAAACTCACGAATCGCCACTCTCACTAGTCCTTTTCTTCACTCAGTGAACGTTTCTGCATTCTGACTGTTTGCTAACCCTCGCTTTTTCAACCCCTGTTGGATTTGCCCTCTTTCACATGATCACAAATTACATCTATGTTGTTTCAGTGTTAAATGTCAATTGCTCTAAAACGGAAAATGCACTTTTCCGTCATTTTGGTACGAACATCTTCGGTGCATCCTTAATGGATTTTCTTCCAAAGACATCCTGCTGTCTCTTTAGGAGCTGGGTCTCATTTCTTGGACACAGGAGCTTTAAATAAATTCTATCAGTCATCATAAATGTTCATGAATGTAAACCCAACATTAACGAGTCTGCAGTGAATCGTAAATCAAACACAATAACAAACAACCCTGCCCCAGGGTCTAATATTTCAGCACCTGGTGATTAAAGCTTAAGACCAATAAACATTTACAGCAGCTTCAGAGGTTCCCACCTAGGAATGAATGTCTTTCCCACCGAACCTAAAATCTAGATGTTAGGCGGTGTTTTTTGTATATTTTGTCCTAAATTGGATTAACTTTCAGAGAATGGTCAATCATCATAAAGCTTTAGTTTGTAGATGGTTTTATGTGGGAAGTTCCTGTGGATGATGTTTAATTAGAGTCAGTTAATTGTCTTTTCTTTACAGTTTTTAGTAAATTTTAACATAAATCTTTTGTGAATTGAAAACGGGAAGGGAGATCAATGTTTGTTTTTCAGGACATCATTCAGGTCCTTTGCTTTGTGCTCCTTTAAAATGTGCAGCATGAAGGCCACTGCAGGCAGGATGCAGACATAACATAGGAAGGAGACATGGCTGTTGTTGGGCTCGCTGTCTGAATGACGGCGCGCACTGATACTAACAGAGAGAAAATA